TGCGGACGGCGGTATAATGCGACATGGCGATGGAAGAAGAAAAAGAAGAAGCACAGAAATCGATGCAGTCAAACGGGGGAAAAGCTGCTGCTGCTGCCAACTGATGCCCTCACTGTGCTGACTTTTTCCTCTCCTCTCCGCTCTCTGCCGTCAATGGGCCGATGACGAGTAATGAATTGAATGATTACGACGTGGGATTTGGCGTCGGCACAGACCAACCAGTCAGCCAGCAGCAGTAGGAGCGAATTGAGCGGGGTAGCAAAAAAAGAGCGCGAAAGAGCAAGTTGACTTTCTGGGCGCAAGCAGGCAAAGTCGCTGGGCGCAAGAAAATTCTGTCTCCACTCTTTCTCTCTTTTTTTTCTCCACTTTTCTGAAACATGCTGAGCAGTGCAAGTGAGTGTGTGCTACTGTGTGCTTCTACTGCAAGAATGTGTCTTCTAACTGCTTCGACAGCACCAGCAACAGCAGCAGCAGCAGAAGGAAAATGAGAAACGGCAGTTCTTCACTGTCGACTCAAATCCGATCTGAGCTGATTGATTTGAGTGTAGTCGAAGAAGAAGAGGAAACGCGCCAAAGAAGAATGAGAAGTAGAAGTAGCTTCAAGTTTTAAAATTGAACTTTCCTGCTGAGCTGTCAACATCCAGTGGCAGCAGCAGCAGCAACTCAGCAGCAGCTTTCTGCGGAAACAGGCACTACAATTGGGTGCACCCGTCTTCTTCTGGGCACCGTTCAGTGTTCAGTGTTCAGTCAGTCAATCACATTTGCATAGTTTAGGACAGAGCAGGACAGGACAGCATCAGTGATCAGTGCAGCAACAATTGCTACTGTCACTCGGATGAGCAGGCAGCAGTAGCAGCTCAGAACTGCAGACTCACTGCTTTTTTCATCATTGCGCACTGGGGATTAGTTTTATGCTGGAAAAGGGAAATGAGCTGCTGCTGCTGCTGTTTGACAGCGGACATGTCCTGCCTGGAGAGATCACCCACAGACATCAGCACACTTTCAGCACTGGTCAGCAGCAGCAGCAGTGGCCCAAGCGGTCGCTCTCTTTCTCTCGCTTTCTGTTTTTGCCCCCATCGTTTTCAATTTGGCCGTTTGTGCCGGCACTGGCGGCACTGACACTGACACTATAGCGGCTGACAGTGGCCTAATGTGTTAATCGATGGCCTGTCCGCAAAACGGCCTCGCCGACAACTGTCCTCCTGTATCTCCGCATCTCCTCCATCTCTGCCTCTCATTCTCTATTTAGTGCTGCACTTCTACTTCTTTATTTGCTTACACTTACTTTCCAACAACAGAGGAGAGAGAATTTTGCAGTCAGCGCACTTTGAAACACCAAAGTGGAAAGGAGAAAGAAAGAAGACCTGAGCATTAATGACGCCAATTACGACAGTTTTGCAGCGTTTAGAAGAGTGCTGCCTTGCATAGTGAGAAGGACACCAGCGCACACTGTTCTCTCTCAGTTCTCTCCTTTCAATTTCATTGTAACTGTCTCATTTGCCTTCCTCTCTGTTCCTCTCTGCACTACAGTGCGCGGGCAGTTCAGTTCCTAGCGTTCACAAATACATTTCAAAGTTTCCCATCTCCATCTCCTCTATTTGACCAGCCCTGGATTTTTCTGTGTTTGTGTTCAGTTGTGTCTGACTGACTGACTCCTTTCCTTTCTCTCTTCAATCTCAGTTCCTCTGCTTCTTTCTCTTCTTTCAGGCTAATAGTTTATAATTACGCGCCAGGCGCCTGAGCCCGAGTCAGTCAGTCAGTTGGCTGGCTGGTTGGAGGGTGCCATTGTCTGCGGACTAACGCATTCTCTTTCAGCATTGCCTTTGTTTGCCAGTGGAAAGGGAGAGAAAGAGAAAGAGTGGCCCACAGAGGGCCCTGCTTCTGTAACACTACCAGCATCAGCAACACCAGCACAGCGACTCTGAAATCGAATCAGCAACCCATCGATTGGCTCCACCAGCAGCAAAGGCAGGCGAAGAGCAAGCAGCCCAGTTCGATTGACGACGCTGATCAGCGGCGTCGGCGGCGCCCAATAGTGCGCCAATTTGGCAATTAAACTTTCTCTTGCTATTCTTGCTCTTCTCCTTCTTCTTTTTCAGTTGGCTCGTCAATCGATAGAGAAGATCACAGTGGCCAAAATAAACCATGCACAGTCTGTCACATTCGCTGGTGACACTGGTGGTCCGAAGCCGAAGCTGAAGCCGGTCGAAGCAAGTTATCAGTTCGTTTCGCATTTAGCAACAACAGCAGTGACCGTGCCCGCTTCGGTTTTCCTATTCAAGTCGACGATTGCAATTAGAATTCAGTTCAGGCAACCAAAAAGAAAAGGAAGAAGAGGAAGGGGCAGTATTAATGACGGCAGTTCCCAAAAACAGACTGCTTGCACTGGTTGACATTTGAATTTGACTGTTTAGGGCAAGTCAGGGCTCCCATGATCCATGATCGGCCTGAACTTTGTTACTTAGTTTCCCCTTTTGCAACAGAAACAACAGTTTTTTCCCTTTCACTGGTTGATGCATTGGTGATGTCATTTGGGTGATTCTGTCTGTTTTCGACCAAATTAACTAAAAGAAGAGAAAGACTGACTAACTTTAAAAATGACAATTCAATTGACCAAATGTCAAAACAAAGTGCACTCTCGTGTGTGTGCGTGTACACTAGCCTACTAGCACTCCCGAGCCTGTTCACTGTTGACCGTAATTTGACAAAGGAAAAAGGGCAAAAAAACCTAACAGAAGAGGATGCTCTCAGGTTTCTTCATTAGGAGAACGGAAAGGAGGAAAACAGAAAAAAGGAACAACAAAAACAAATTACGGTGGATCATCAAATGATTTACTTGGGTGACATTCTCTGAAAAAGAAATGACAACATAACGGGAAACATGGAAAAACGGTGGTGGCCTTTACTTGCTTTTTGGTCGATGCCTCTTGACAACCCTAATGATGCCGTCATCACCAGTGATCACACACTGAAGAGTGTCCTCAAAGTTCGAAAAGTCAGCAGAAATGAGAAAAGTGGTAGTATATAGCAGGTAAAGGTGTTCTTGCGGAAGGCCAGTTGACAGTTTCGTGGAAGAAATCAAGCTTAAGTTGACAGAAAACGGCTGACAAATGATGGTAAATAAACACCTATCAAGGAGAATCGATGTGCAAACACACACACACAAACACACACAAAATGCAATGAGATTGGACAGGAATGAACCTACCGAAAGATGCACTGCTAATGGCTTTAGCAGGAAACGCTTAGTCATGCGTTTGGGCTCCTTCCAAACAGAGATCAGGAAGGTATAATATTTAAATAGAAAATCAGCACACTTTTTCCGTGGAGAGCAAACAAATCAAATCAAATCACCTTGAAAGTAAACCCAAGCTTTGCTTTAAATCATTTTTATTTTTTGTAATGAGTTGCAACGTTTAAAATGAGGTGGTGGTTTGGTGGTGAGAAACAGAGTGAGAAAGAGAACAACACTACCACAGTGTTGGACCAAAAGACTTTCAAACTTCTCAAAAGATAGCAGGAATAAAACAAAGAAAAAAGAGCATTTTGTGCTCAACTGGTCTTCTTGCCCGACTTGTGCTTAGTCTTGGAGGTGCTGTAGCGGGCGGACTTCTTCGAAGAAACATTGCCGCCTGATGATTGGCGCTGCTTGTTGCCCCCGCTGCCGCTGCCACCCTCAGCATCCTTGGCGTCCTTCTTGCTGTCCTTCTTTGAGGATTTGTTCTTGTGCTCAATGGCCGTCTTTGAGGAAGAGGCGCCCGACTGTTTGGACTTCTTCCGCGGGCTGTTCGACTTTGACTTGGGCACACTATCTGTCGCACCAGAGGTTCCTCCCTTAGTCTTATTGCTGGTGGTGCGCTTGGGCTTCGATTTGCCCGACTTGATGGTGCCACCGCCTCCTCCCCCTCCTCCTCCGCCGCCTCCCTTAGTGCTCGTTTGCTCCTGCTCTCCGTCGAGGATGAGCACCGACTTGACGGGGGCGGCAAAGTTGCCCCGCTCATTGTCCGCCCGGTTGAGGTTCTTCGAGGTGGAGTCGCTTTCCTTGGTCAGCGAGCCCATTGGCGGGTCATTGCTGAAGTCCATCTTGGCGTTGCTGGTCACCAGCTGCGGCACCAGCGAGGGATCGGGCGTGGACGGCCCTACGGCGATCTTCTCATTGCCGCCCAGGTTCAGCATGGGAGCGGCCTTCTTCGAGGAGTGGCCGTCGATTGGGCGTTGGCCTCGATGCGACTGCTGTTGCTGCTGTCGATCTGCCTCCGGCCCATCTCTGCTGGTCCTCGCCTGCTGCTCATTGCCGGCCCTGGGCCCTCGGCAGGACGTGGTGGCCTCCTTTTCGCCGCTTTTCACCTTTTCTACGGGCTTCCTCGGCGCCGCATTCATCGGATTACTGTCACGGCTGTACTCCATTGTAAAAGTAACAAGATTGATGCAGCTGTAGCACAAACAGAATGATGACTTGAAAGCAGACTACCTCGCCACTTTAAATGACTTTAAAAACTTTGTTGTTCCAAAAGTCAATAAAATAGAACATACGTCACTTGAACCGTACAAAAATTCTAAAGTTGTTGTGATAAACATAAAAATCAATGCCACGACACTTCATTCATTGAAGCAAAACCTTGACAGGAAAAAATTTTAAACACTTTGTTTTAATAATAAGTGGGGGCACATAGTTGGCCGAGTAAGAGGAGATATAAATACAAGTTTGTGATAAATGAGGAAAGGTCTGCACACGCACAGATACACACAAAAAGGGAACAATTAAATTGTTTGTGGGGAGTTTAGAGTGTAAATGGTAGTAGGTAATCGTAAAAGTGTTCGTGTGCAAAGTGTTAAGTTGTAGCAGAGAAACTGGATAAATCCATTGCCAGGTAAAGAGACTTGCTAGTGACGATCATGAATGAAGTAGGAAATTGGAAAAAGAAATTGATAGCCTTCTTTGTTTGCTTGCTTGTTGTGTTCGCTGATTTGAGATGAGTCTTGAACAAATGTTTCTGTGTTTAATTGGTGGCGGCGGTGGCCTCACTTGATTCGACAACTGCATTGTTCTCTTCAGTGCGAGCCTTCTTCACACCGTTTGACCCCTCCGAATTTCCATTCTCAGCGGCCGCATCACTATCAGCCTCTTTCTGTGAAAAAAGAAAAGACAAGTTAAGGCATTAATAAATAAAAACGCGTCAACAAACTCGTACCTTGCGCTTGATGAGATGTGAAATGTTATTGACCGGCTTGTCCGCACAGGGTTGAACAGTTTTGGTCTCCTCCTTCTCCGATTCCTTCTGCAAGCTCTCGAGTGTCTTGAACTGACTCTGCATCTGCTCCTTGATGTCCTCAATCTTGGCCGTCAGCTCGGGAATCAGGTCATTCAGCTGGCTGATCTCCTGCTCGTGCGAGTCCTTCTCAAACTGATCCATGCCGTCGGTGGGGAGCTCCTTCAGGTGCTTGATGCGCATCTGAATGACGTCGAGGGCGCTCTCAAAGCACGAGTTGGCGCGGTCAATTTCATTCTTGAAGGAGAAGGCAATGCCCAGGAAGTGGTAGGTGAGGGCGATGAGGCGATCGTCCGGATCCAGGGCCGCCTTGCGGTGCTCCAGACACTCACTCAGCAGGTGAATGGCGTTCTCGTTGTTCTCCCACTCAATACTGATCTCGCCCAGCTTCTGCAGCGCCTCCGCCAGGTTTAGCTGATTCTCCTTGCTCAGATCAGGAGTCTGGGCCTCGTAGATATCCTTCGCCATGGTGAGCACTTCCCAGGCGATCTCCACACTGCTGGGAGCGTCGGCGTCATCGTCCTCATCATTGTCGCCATTAGAGGTAATCACGCCCGAAGCAGAGGAGGCGGCCTCGCCCTTGGAAGTAGATGGCTGTGTGAGATCAATATCTACTTTGTCGTCGCTGCTCTGAGCTGACTCCTCCTCGGGCGATGAAGCCTTAGCCTCGGCCTCATTGTCGTCTCCAGTGTCGGGAGCCGGCGTTTCGCCCTCATCTCCCTCCTCCTCCTGCTCTTCATCGCCCTCCTCCTCGTCAGAGGAGATTTGATCTGAAAAGTAAAACATGATTTTAGAAACTCTGTGTGTTTAAAGGGCCTATTTATTTGACACTTACTTTCGACATTGACCACTCCATCCATGATTCCTTCTTCGAGTCGAGAGAGCTCAAAGAGTGAAATGCCGTAGTGAAGGTAGGCTTCAGCGCTCTCCGCTTTACCGGGTCCGTAGATGGAGTCGAGCAGCTGGCAAGCATGCTCGAAGCAGGGGACGGCCGATTTGTAGTCGGAGACAATCATGTGACGCTTTCCCTGCTGCATAGACTGAACTGCCTCGACCAGCAAGTCTTTATCGCTGTATCACAAAAAGAAAAAAGAGAGTTACCACACATGACACTTCAAAACATGGCAACACTTACTTGGAGTCCTGGGACGGCGGCGGTGACGGCACTTTGAAGTTCTCCGCAACACTTTCGCCATTGCTGCCCGAATTGCTGCTGGCCACGGCAGCTCCTCCTTCAGCCTCCTCAATGACGCCGACTTCAGAGTTGCGGAAGGCGTCAGCGGCGGCAAGGGCTGCAATGCCGGGGTTTGCTTCCATCAACGAATCGGTCGACTGCTGCGAGCTGCCAATAGTGGACTCCTGCGTTTCGGCCATGGCGTTCGGCTGAAGAAAAAGTGTTGTTCGAGATGACAAGTTTGACAAGAGAAGTAGAACCGGGTGAAAGAGATCGGCGAGGTGTGTTTGTTTGTCAAAGTGTGCGACAAAGTGTGAGAGGTGACAGCGGCNCTGCTGCGAGCTGCCAATAGTGGACTCCTGCGTTTCGGCCATGGCGTTCGGCTGAAGAAGAAGTGTTGTTCGAGATGACAAGTCTGACAAGAGAAGTAGAACCGGGTGAAAGAGATTGGCGAGGTGTGTGTTTGTTTGTCAAAGTGTGCGACAAAGTGTGAGAGGTGACAGCGGCGGCGGCGGCGGCGACTGGTCAAGTGAAGGAAGAGAAAGCTGCCCGAGGAGAGACAATGCAAGAGCCAATCACACACTCTCACGTTGTGTGTTGTGCTGCTGAGCCAAAAAGCGCGGGAAAGATTTTGCAAGCAGTTGTCGGGAACTTTTCCCGAATTTGCAGCCCTTGTCCTGCCCTCTAGTGGGAAGGCAGGCAAAGACTCCAAAGAAGAAGAGGAATATCATGTGATCGCCGCCGTTCAATTTGAGTGTGTAGTACCGGTTTACGCTACCTGAGCCCTCAGAGTTGCACTGCTGTTTGCTGCTTCCGGACAGCAGCAGCAGCTAACAAACCAAAATTTTGTCACAATAAAAAAGGTCTTTCTTTTGAACGCTTTCCGCCTCGATAGCCGCCGCTGGTCAACTCTGAAATGCTCATGGCGATGACACCAGCACAATCAACCAAGAGACACAAAAGCGCCCGATGTCTTCTTTGTCTGATCACTGGCACCGGCAGTTGTGGCCGATGGCTGTAAATGGATGCAGGATGACTGGTGAATGGTGGCAGTGACCAGTCCAGTAAGTGTCATCCTCTGCTGCTGGTGCTCCAGTTTAGCTCAGAGCTCCAAATTGTCAGCAGCATGCTTCAGCAGATGTGTGATGGCTGCCATTCTCCTCCTTCACTGAAGAAAAGAAGAGGCCTTCTTTTTGAAGAAGGACGCGCGCGCGCAGGCTCTGATTCGTATCCTGGTGCCCCAGCAGCGGCAGCAGCAGCAACTGTTGCTCTGGCCGAGTCCGTGTTCAAGGTTGGAAACTGCACCACCTCTCCCTCTCTCTCATCGAACGAGAAGACGAAGACTAAGACGAAAAAAGGTACCCCTCGCAAATGACTTGCAGTGCAACTTGTGCGGAACAAACAACCGGTATTATATTGACTGTGCAGCAGCGGCATCGGCGGCATCAGCAGTTGTTGGCCTGACCACCGCCGCACGCTCCCCTCTACAGTGCACCACTTCTCACTTCTTTGCAGCTCATAGCCTCATCCATTTCAAATCTCGCTCGGTTTAGACCGCAGCAGCAGACACACAGTTGAGCAAAGGAGAACAAAACTACCGTCGCCGCCGTTGCACAACGTGCACAAACCTTCTTCTTCTTCTTCTTCTTCTTCTTTTCCTCCTATAGGATCTCAGTGGTGCTCAGAAGTTCGTTGAAGACGAAGATTTTGTCCTGTTCAATGGAGCGGCACTAACGACGACGGAATCGGCACCACTTTCTTTATTTTCTCAAACTCAAAAACTCAGCTGATGCATCACTTATTTGGTTTCCAGTTTTAACCTCTATCCTCCTCCTGTCAGCCATGAATTACCATCATCGAGAAAAGGCTTTTAGAACGACGGCTTGCGGTCGTGCGGTGTTGTGCCTCCTTCTACTTGCAGTCTTTTTTCAAGTGAACAACGGTCAACAACAAGAAGTGGATCAACAAACAGTTCAACCACAGGAACAGCAGCCACAGCCGACGACGCCGACCAACGATACTGNACCATCATCGAGAAAAGGCTTTTAGAACGACGGCTTGCGGTCGTGCGGTGTTGTGCCTCCTTCTACTTGCAGTCTTTTTTCAAGTGAACAACGGTCAACAACAAGAAGTGGATCAACAAACAGTTCAACCACAGGAACAGCAGCCACAGCCGACGACGCCGACCAACGATACTGGCCTCTTGTCAGGTAGGCACTACTTAATTCTACTTTTATTTTTAGCTAATTTCCCCTTTCAGACCTCTGGACAAGCCTGACTACCGTGGGCAAAACCGCCTCCTGTCCGGGTGAGTGTTTGCACGCCATCACCTCCATCTTCTGCGACCACGTCCTCGAGGAGATCTCCTGCGGTGAAAACTACCTGCGATGCTGCGTCTCAGGATCTCCACAGCAGTCAGTCTCCGCAGCCTATGGATCGGCATCTTCCGGTTCAGGAGAAACAGCACCGCCCGAGTACCTATCCACCTACACCAGCACCGAACCGCCTCCGACGGTGGCCATGACAGTGGAGACCTTCAGTGTGATCTCCAACAACCACAATCACTC